TTTTCTGTCTCCTTGTGTCTTTTTTTAATAAAAGGGTCACATTAGCAATTTTCCAGTCTGAATGAACATTCCTCAAATCTAATGTGTTTTGGAAAATTAAAACCAACACATCAACAACTCACAAGCTATATCTTTTAAAATCTTAGGATGAAATCCATCAGGACTTGGCACTTATCAACTCACAAGCTATATCTTTTAAAATCTTAGGATGAAATCCATCAGGACTTGGCACTTATCAACTCAAAGTTTGAACAATTTACTACAGTACTTTCCTGGTGGTTGTAAATTTCTTGAGTTTTCCCTCCCTTTCAATTCCTGATTTACACTTATTTCTGGGATGCTACTTGTATCGTCTCTAGGGAAAGACGATGTAAAATATCTGTTCAATTCATCTGCCATCTCTCTATTTTCTATTACTAATTCACCGGACTCATTTTCCAGAGGACCAACGCTTACTTTGTTAATGCTTTTCTTTTTTAAAATCTTAAGAAACGTTCCCCATTTTATTTATATTTTTGTTTAACTTTCCTCATTCTCTAACATTTTCCTTCTGATTAATCCTCTTGCAATACTTTGCTGTTTTTTCTGTTCTGTCTAATCTTTTGACCTGCCACCTATCTTTGCACAATTATACGTCTTTTCTTTTCTGTTTGACATTTTTTAGTTAACCACAAATGGTGGGTCTTTTCCTTAGTGTTTTTCTTATTTGTTGTAATGTATCAAATCTGCACTTCCTGGAATATCCCCTTAAAAGTTTGCCATTGCATCTCTATTAAATATTCTTTAACCTAAGTTCATCTTTGCTAGCTCTGTTTTCATGGTCACATAATTGCCTTGTTTAAATTTAAAATAGTAGTCTTGGATTCATATTTCTCTCCCTTAATTTGTATATAAAATTCAATCTTATTATGGTCACTGCTGCCCAGGGATGTTTTTTGTTTACCAACACTGCACATAATTTGTTTCTAAATAATTAGGCTAGATATGACCCATGCTCAGAGTCCAAAATACTTGAAACAAATCAGGTCTAAGTATAGGTGCTACCAATCCCCACCCACTTGAATGAAAGGTGTGGGTAATACAGTAATATTGAGGTTATAACATTCTTTGGGGTCATGTAAGTTTGGGAGAAGGAACACAGTTCCTGTCACACTGAATTTCTAGGTTCAGCCTTGGAACAGAGTTAAATATTAATGGGCCAGATTTTTCTACAAGTGGCAATCACCGTCAGATTGCTGTTCTGTTTCTACTGATTTCCATTAGACAAAGCTCTGCATCTTTGACAGAATATTCCAATTATGACTCTCTCAGAAATAATGAGTCTACCTGAAACCCAACAGGGTCCATCTTAGTGTAGGACAGTCATGGGAAGTCAAACTCATGTCCACATTTAAAGGCAGTAGTTGCAATATTCTGTGATTTAAAGCTCAGACAGTCACTTTGACAGCTCCTTTGAAAGTATAAGTATGTAAGTAAATTGGAGTTAGGGAGCCAGGTAGGTGATGGAGTGTTTAGGGTAGGTCAGAGAGGGTGGGGAGTGGCTCAGGTCTGCCAATACGTGGATGAGGGAAGACAGAATGTCAGGTGCCAAGGGGAGTCTTGTCTCCTAGGGCAACAAGGGAGTAAAGTCCAGGGAAAAAGGTGAGGGACTGGAGGGGGTCTAGGTTATGTCAGTGAGAGGGTGAGCAGAGTGTCAGGTACAACGCTGGGGAATAGTTGCCTGGCAGCGAATTTGGGGGCTTGACAGACTTGTCAGATCTAGGGCCAGGGTGAGGGAGACAGACTGCTGAGTCTCAGAGGCCAAGGGTTCTCAGGGCTGCCAGTGGGATGACGGAGGGGAGCATGCTATCAGTAGGCAAAGGAAGGGTTTGTTGGGTCTGGGGTTTGTTGGGTCCCAGGGATGGAGGGGATGTGTCGTGTTTGAGGTGGAAGGAGAGTTGTCAGGTCTGCAATGTGGGACGTGAGGTGTCAGGTCAGCATCCAGTGGTTGTAAGGGGTCTTAGGGTGAGTGTGGTTGGGGAATGAATGGTCATTTGGGGTGTCAGTTTAAGAGGTTTTTAATCTTCTAACTTTTCCTAGGTTACTATTAATTTAACTGCAGCAAACCCCCCAATTTAATCAATATTTTGGGAGGGTTCCAGGTGCAGGTGAATTGCCCTCGGAATCTTTCCCAGGCAATTCTCTTGGAGCCTGCTTTATCAGGGATTCTACAGGGTTCCAACATGCAGCTCCCATCAATGCTACAAAAAATGACTAACAGGCTGTTGGAAAAAGCAGAGCATTGTATTAATTTATGTGTATTTTGTGATTAAGGAGTTAAATCTAGGCAAGACAGGAACAAAAGAAAAATAAGTTGTCAACAGAGACAAAGGAAATACTTTATGTTTGGCACTGTGTCCAGCAAAATAACAGCAGTTTTTAGATTAATTCATGCAGAAAATAAATTGACAGTGCTAGGTCTTTTCTTCTCAAGTACGCTACCGCCTTTTGTGCAGTTCCAGTACCTTGCCCTTTATGTCATTGTGACTCCAAACAGATTTTCCAGTGATATACTTCAGTCTTGTCTGCTTCCTATTTCCAAGGTTGTTTGGCTACATGTTCCTATCAGTTGATCTCATACTTTCCTGTGTTTTTTGAAAAAAAAGGTCTATGAGTCTGCATTTTAAACATCATCAATGTCCTGCCTTTGGATGTTTTAGTTGTAAAATTAAGAATTTTTTTACATTTTTCAGGACTATAAGTACTGAGATTTTTCTTGATTTTTTTTTCCATGCTGCAGTATGTTCTGCCATACTGTAATTTATATAGAAGGCTTATTCTTTACATTGAATAATGACCTGAGTCCTTGACATGTAAAAATGAAAAACTTTTAGCAGGGAATGTGTGCATTTTACAATAGCATGTTTTATATGAATGCTGATATCGTTATAAAGTTCCCTCAGCTTTGCAGGGTCACTTCAAAAAATCAGTCAGGACTTTTGCCACTATTATGGCATAAATCAGGCAACTAGCAAAGCAATTGGACTTGGGTTCCATCCTGCTACATCTCTGTATATCTTATGTTTGTAACAATTTCTGATGTGGGTGGGAATGGCACATCCTTTAGTTAACTATTTATTTAGGGGCACATATACCTTGAATGTTGCTTCTTCAGGGGCACCTGATTTCAGGATGTCATATTTTCAGTGACATTGTATGAAAGAAGAAATGTTGGTGTTCCAACAGCCAGTGCAACATAGTTGGCTGCACATTTGAGATGCAATGAATTATATTACCAGATCTCGGCACTTCAACCTATCAGTGATCATGAAAAACTGTCTTCAACAGGCCAGGATCAGCAGACAACCAGATACATTGTTATGGCATTTCTAACAATGATATTAGCAATTATGATACATCATATGGCAAAGATACCAAAAATGTTGATAACAGTCATGTATGGCATGAATTCTTATCGCTTTAACCATAGGGATTGATGCAATGGAGTGGAACAGAGGACTATCATCCTCAGTAGTGACTCTGCAGACATCAAGCAAAGGAATCAATGCAGAAGGTGATTTGGAAGCAGGATTCGGGATTAAGATTGTAAGATAGGATGTATACATAAGCCCTTAACTACAATCTTCTCCATTCTTATGTCCACCATTTCCTCCTTCTCCCATGTCCAGCTGGGCCCTTGTTGGTCCTCTCTCATGCTTACCTTCTCTATCTTATTCATACCTACTTCCCTCTTATATACGTTATCCTTTCCTATGCCACCTATGTGCCCATTTCTTTCTCTTTATCCATGACAGACTCTTCCATTGACTCTGTCTGCCACTTCCCCGCCTAATGCACCTCATGCCCAAAACCTCTTTACATGCACACCCCAACCTACCCATTCCGCTATGCCCACCTCCTTCTTATTTTTGTCTACCCACACCAAAAGCTACCCAATCCCTAGGCTCAACACTCCTTATAATTTCTCATTGAATCCCAAGATAACTACTCGCCCATGCCCAGCTTCTTTACTGTTGCCCTGCCACACCTCAAGCTACCCAGTCCTCCCATAGCCAACTTTATCATTGCCCACCTATGCTACCAGCTGCCCACTCTCCCATGCCTATCCATCATTGTCAATTATCCCTCCCATAATGACCTAATCATTTGCTACCGAACCCCACCCCCCCACTATTTCTCCTCTATGCTAGGAACATAAGCCCACCTCCTCACTGCATGCTACCCACGTTCCCATTTCACCTCCTCATGATGCCTACCCCCTCACTGCAAAATGCACACTTGTTCACTCACTTACTCCATGCTCAACTCCTCTTCATCTGTTCTGATAAACTCGAAATATTAACTCTGCTTTCTCCCCACAGATTCTGCCAGACCTCCTGAGATTCACCGGCAATTTCTGTTTTTGTTTCACATCTCCAGAATCCACAGTTCTTTGTTATATTGTTCTCTTTATTGTTCACCAACCACATCCAAAGCTACCCATTTTCCCATGTCCATAACCTCACTATACCCCAAGTACACCCCAAGCTATCTACTCCCCTATGTGCAACCCATCATTGTGCACCATTAACGCAAGCTATTTATCATCCCATGCTAACACATCATTACCCACCCGTACACTAAGCTACCCATTACCCCTTCATGCCCGCCTCTTCATCATTGCCCACCCTTTCTTCCCCACGTGTACTCAATACCCAATGTTACTCAGTCCCCTGCCCATCTCCTGTATAACATTACTCAAAGTCGCTTCCACCCCTTGTTTCCCCCTGTCCCACTTGGTGCCAATTCATTTCCTTTAACCTCACGCGCTCCTAACGGTCGCCTCCCCGCGCCGCGCCTCTCAGTCCCCACGCGACGCGCCTCCAATCGGATTTCCCGGCGCCGGCTCGAGACATTTTTTTTCCTCTCTCGTCTTTTCCGAGACAAGAGGTGAAGCAGAAAAACAAGTTTACTCACAGTGCATGACGAGAGGAAGGCACGGAACAGGGAAATCCCATCCCGACGGAGAAACATACTCAGCCTGAGATCGCAGAGGTCAAAACCGCCATTTCCGACCTTTTTTTGAAGGGGGAAAAAAATTGAGAGATATTGGGAAACTCGCAACTTCCCGAATTCGAGGTAAGAAATGCCCAGTTGCAATTTGGTTTCTGTGCATTTGCCGCATTTGTTAGTTATTCTGCAAAGTATTTCTCTATTTATTTTGTACGTAGGTTTTAGTTATTCTCCAAAGTTTAAAAGGTACGGAATTACGATGCAGTTGGATAATATAATTAATCACAGGCTGGGATGAGCATTTACAGAATTGCGATTGTTACTGTTTTTGTTTATTGAAAAGTTATTAAATGTGTCTAATAGAATGAAATACTTGAAAATTTTGTAAGTTTTATTTGTTTTTCAGCATGCTTTTTGACACGATTATGAATTCCGTTTTCCTGTAACCGGACAAACTGTGGCGTCATTCCCTTCCTGACGATCTCGCCTTATCGGCTTGCCGGTTGGCCGTTGGTTTTCCCAAGGACGGCCCCACAACGCTGATATTAATGTCTGATTGGATAATGTAACTGTCAGTCAGCTGGAGGGACGTGTTGCGCTGTTGATAGCTACGACAAAAAATGTTTTACCAGAAGTTTGTGGCAGGAATGAAGAAAAAGAGTTAAAGAGTCTTCGTACGCAAAACGGGAATAACAACTATCTGAATTGTATTTGCAGGTATCGTTTTAACTTCTGCAGTCATAAAAATCTAAAGTCCGGTATAGTTTTACAAAATAATCCTTTGATCTCTTGTTCTCTAATATTTGCAGTAGGTTTTGGGAAATAATAAATTTCTTGGCGAACCTGTACGATTGAAACTACTCAACAGACCCCAGCGCTGTAAAAGTCGTAGAATCGGTGGTACAGATTACTCCTGTCGTGTTAGTGAGAAATAATTATTTTTATAAATCAAATCGTCGCCAAATTCTGATTTGATTACGGAATAATTGTATTTGGTTAACGTGCGCAATACAGTGGTACAGATTTACAACTGCAAATGTATTTAAGTTAGATGTTAGTTGCAAAAATGTGTTTACCTATCTAGATCCTGATTATAGTTAGCAATCGCTGGAAGTATTTTAAAAAAAAAACTTTGATCAGTTTGTATTAGAGATCTGAAAAACCTCTGATTCGTTTCTTTTTGTATAAACGAAATGAATTTTTACTTGTGAAGCAATCCTGGATGGAACCGACATTTTTATATATGATGTGAATTTGTTGCATGTATTGCCTTCGATTAATTCATGCGTTATTAATGCTTGATTATATCTAATATTAGACGTGCTTTCAATAAGTTTAAGTAATATGATTAGCTTCGCGTAGGTATATTCTAATTTATTTGAGTTAGGTTTGATTTCCTAATTGGTTGCCAAATTGTGAGCGATGGTTTAGTCATACAGCACGGAAGCAGACCCTTCTGTCCAACAAGTCCATGCCGACCATAATCCCAAACTAAACGCCCCACCTGCATGCGCTTGGCCCATATCCCTCAAAATATTTCTTATTCGTGTACTTATTCAAATGTCTTTTAAATGTTGTAACTGTACCTTCATTCAGCACTTACTCTGGAACTTCATTCCACACACAAACCGCACTCTGTTTTTAAAAAAAAAAAGCCCCCATGTATTTTTTTAATCTTTCTCCACTCATCTTTAAAAACTGCCCCCGGTCTTGAAATCTGCCACCCTATGGAAAAGACACTTGTCATTCATCTCATCTATACCCCTCATGATTTTATAAACCTTTAAGGTCACCCCTTTGATAGTCGTAAGTTTTGTTAATTATTAACAATGTGGTTTCGTTTAAAATTACCTATTCATTAATTCTAATTATACCACAAGATTCTCCTGTAAGAATATATTTTTTCTTCAGTAGGTGAAAGTCTTGCCTTTGATTCAGAAAATTGAGGGTTCAAATCACTCGTTCATGTAAACTAAAAGGTAACTTGTTCATATACACTAAAAATGACATTGAGCATTTGCAGTGCTTGAACTGTCCTCGACAATTAAAAGACCAAACCCAAGTGGTACTGGAGAAGATCCCATAATTCATTTGAAAGAATAATAGTATATTCTCTTGGTCTATTGGCCATTCTTCAGAATTTACTGTTCATTCATATTGTTGGTGGGACCTTATTTTGGGCTTGCATGTGCAAAGAAGAGATACGATAAACTAAAAGATGCTTATTCATTATTTATAATTCTCAGGCCTATAAAATGCTTTCCCAGGGAATCAAATTTATCTGGAGAAATTCTTTTCGGCCTGAGACTTGAGTTTCACCTTCCGTGGTTTGCTAGAATGGCTGAATAAATTCATTGTGGAGATGTCCAAAATATAAATCACACACACAGCTGTAACATGTCAGAAAATAATCCTAGATTCAGAAAGAAAATATTATAGCTGGTGGTCACAGTTGTGCTTTCAATGTTGGACTTCTGATTTTGTAAACTTTGTTTATTGAACAGTCCCAGATAATTGATAGATGCCAATAAATGACATCAGGTTTTAAAAGGTAGAAAATACGAACTATTTTTGTGATGAGTTAATGGCATTTTTTTCTGACTAGATTTGCAACAGACCTCAAGGCTGGATTTGTGGAGTTCGATCTTCACTTTTTTTCCCTAAACTCAATTCACAACAACTTCTTCTTTTACCCGGAGAAGAAAAGCACCTGGACATAACACCACCTAGATACAGGATCGAAGTACTCCTCGTTGAGAGGAAAGAAAACATGGAAGCAATTCTAACAGTATTCGTAGTAGTCATTTTAGGATCACAGATACAAGCAGGTAAGCTCATGTAAAATATTTATATCTGAGTAACTGAGCAAACATTGTTGCAACTGTACATATTCCAAACAAACGGTAGGTGGGCATTAGATTTAATGAGACTCTTTTCCAAAATCTCAGGATGTTGAAGATTCTCAGCAAGACAACCAAGGTCTTGTCCTGATGTCTTAACCAATATAAATCTTTGTCACATGGCTGGAAACAGATTATTTAGTCATAAAATTAATTTCTGTGTGGGACCTTGCTGTGTACAAATTAACATCCATATTTCCTACATTACAGTAATTGCCATGGTGTAAATGTATTTGACTGGAATTTTGCTTCTCAACTATTCTTCAATATTGTGTAATATGTTTTGAACTGAAAAACACTTTTTTTTCACAAATTTAAAAACAAGGAACTGCAGACACTGTTTTGATTTTAGATTTCCAATGTGCTGGAGAAACTCAACAAGCCTGCTGGCATCCATAGAGAGAATAATAGAGTTAATGTTTTGAGTCCAGTTACCCTGCATCAAGGTCTCCTTACTGACTCTGCTTCCCATATCTTAGCACAGCACTCAAACGAGAACTATTCACTGGGCACTAGGGGGTTGTGAAATAAAAAGGAATGGAAGGAGGAGGATTGGCAGTTTTGATGAAAGGAGAGACTTGCATTTATAGACCATATCACTGAACAAGTTGCTTAGAAATTATTACACCCATTTGAGCAGATGGGGCTTGAACCCAGGCCTCCTAGCTTGGAAATAGGATGCTCCCACTATTCTACAAGAGCAACCCACCCCTCCCAGATAATTAAGTACTTCTGTAGTGTAGTCACTGTTGTAATGTAGGAAAAACACCATACTCCCACAGCAATCTGATAATGATCAGACTATTTTTTTTGGTGATGTTATTTAATGAATTACTGTTGGCCGGGTAACTTCTTGAAAATAATATTGTGGGATCTTTTCACATCTGCCAGAGTAGGCAGATGTTTTATCTAAAATGCAACCCCTTCAAAAGTGCAGGACTCCTTCAGTACTAGAATCGAGTGCCAACTTGTGCTGGAGTGAGACTTGAACACAAAACCTTATAACTTAGAAACAAGAATGCTACCCACTGAGTCACGAGTGATATTCAAATGGAAATATTACGCGCTAAAGAGAGATCTTCAAGAGGAGAGTTGAAGAGTCTATTTGGTTACAGCTAAGAAGCAATAGAAGTACCATTTGGATTGCATAGTTCACCAAATAGTGAGAGACAGTGTGAACCAGATTTGTCAGAAAATTACCAAGGTGCAAACTTATAGAGTAGTTATGATGGGGAGCTTTCCCATCCTAAATTAGGATAATTTTGGTAGAATGGGCAAAGAGCAGAAAGAGTTCCTGAACTGAGAATTTTCTAGATCAGTTTGTGCAACCCAATGAGAAAAGAAGCATAACTGGAAATAGTCCTGAGGATTCAGGTGATTCTGGTCGATCATGTACTACTGAAGCAATATGTGGGGACAGTGACCATTGTATGGTATGGTTTAGGTTAGCTGCAGGAAAAGACCAAGAGACATCCAGAGTAATTATGATGAATTTGGGGAGGAATACTTTGAGTGGGGTGAAAACAGAAATTGAAATCAAAGGTTGGATTTAATTAGGAGTGTTCGATAAGGTAATACATCTTAGGCTGCTAAATAAAGTGAGTGCCCATGTTGAACAAGGTATACTAACATAGTTGGCTAACTAATAGAAGCAAGATAAGGTATAAGAGATGCATTTTCAGGATGACAACCTGTAACTAGTGGAGTGTCACAGGGTTTAGTGCTGGGTCCAAAATTATTTGCAATATGTTAATGACTCGAATGAGCAAAGTAAATGTACTATAGCCAGGCTTGCGGATGACACAAATTTAGCTGGAAAGGCAAATGATGAGGATGACACAAGGGTTTGCCGACTGATTATAGACAGGTTAAGTAAATGGGCAAAAACATGACAGATGGAATATAATATGGGAAAATGCGAGGTGATGCACATGGGAAGGAAGACTAGAGGAGCAGAATACTATCTAAATGGAGAAAGACTGCAGAAAGCTACAGAATGAAGGGATTTTGGGGTCCTGGGCCATGAATCACAAAAGCTAGTATCCCAGTTCGATGGGTAGTAGGGAATGCAAATGGAATGTTGGTCTTTATTTCAAAAAGAACAGATTATAAAGGTAGGGAGGTTTTGCTAAAACTGTACAAGATAGTTATCAGACTATAACTACGATACAGTGAACAGTACTGTGGTTGGTTGGTTCGCTCGCCGAGCTGTTCATTATTTTGCAGACATTTCATTACCCTGCTGGGTAACATCATCATTGCAGCCTCCAATGAAGCGTTGTTGTGTTTTCCCACTTGTTATTTAAACTCTGGGGTCCTTTGGAGTGGGTTATCTCATTTCCGGTGTGTATACAGACCCTATCCAACCACAGCATCCACAACTCGAGCTACTAATCTACTCAAGAACCTTAGTTGAGAACTGTTTTGGACTTTTTTTTTAAAGGAAAGATATATATTGGCATTATAATCAGTCCAGAAAAGGTTCACTGGGACGATAACAGGTATGGAGAGTCTGCCTTATGAGGGGAGATTGGGTCTGTACCCACTGGAGCTTAGAAGAATAGGAGGTGATCTTACTGAAACATACAAGTTTCTTAGAAGAGTTGACAATGTTGATGTGGAGAAGTTGTTTCCATGGAAGAGTCTAGGACCAGAGAGCATAATTTCAGAATAAGGTGTTGTATATTTTAATAGCGAGATGAACGATTTCTTCTCTTAAATGTAGTGAATTTGTGGAACTTTAAACCACGGAGGGCTGTTGAGATGGGTCATTTAAAAAATTCTATCCATCTCGCCTTGAACTTAGGAAAGCAGAATTGAAGGTTGTTAAATGTGCCATGATGTTATTGAATGGCAGAGCAGACCTGATGGACTGAATGGCCTACTTTTGCGGATCCATCTTTTGGTCTTATGTTTATTCAGGAACAGTGGAGGTACCTAATGAGAGGAAGATATCAGACAAACGAAGCCAAAGCCTGCTGTATGATGAAAGGTTAGAGAGTAAGATGAAGAAAAGCAGTGTGTATGAAAGGATAAATGGTAGATAGTCCAGTGAGAATTATGCTCAGTATGGAAAATTTTCATTTAAGTAAGGAGAAGCAAAAAGTATGAATGAGAAGTTTACAAAATGAAATCTGTAAATCTTCTGTTGTCATAATGCAAGAAGAATGAAAGGAGTAAATGGGACACTCGTTATTCGTTATGTGGTGTTTGGTAACAAGGGTCAAGGAGTTACAAAAATATCCCTTTTGTAGGATGCTTCTCAAAATGTTTTTGTCAAATTAAGGGTAGAAAAAGCATTGAATTTTTTAATGTACTAAGATGAGAAAGGTCACCATAAACCTGCAAGGTAATGTTCATGTACAAGTATGAAAAACTGTTATCTTGTAGGACATTATCCTAATCTTGACAGCATTTAATTCATTTATGAATCATGAATTCCTTGTGCATTCCATAATAAAAATGATTTGACTTAATTAATGTCACTATAGATGGGATCTGGCAGTCATTTAACCTTCCAGTTGCTTCATAGGGGAACTTAACCTTATTTAGCAGTTGTAATATCACAGCCAAAAGCACACGCTAAAGACGAACGAAGATTAAAATCTTTCTGTGTAGCCATTTGGGAGACATTTTAGTGCTGCTTGTTGCCAGCCAGTCTCGCCTTGTTTTTTTTTTAAGTTTGATATTTACATATCTTGTTGAGGTTCACACCCTTGTGACTTGTTTAATGCCACAGTCAGCACTGCCCATTTATCTGATAGCTGTTTAATACTCTTTCGGGATATTTTCCTGTAAACTTAAACAACAGCACTGCTATTATGCCATGCTTAGTTGTTCTTATTTCTTTTAATCAGATTTGGAACCATTCTTGGATTTTGTTAATACGTTCTAGTTTGCTTCAAATCCCCTTTTTATGTAGCTACATTTGAGTAGAGTACAAAAATGTGGGTAGATATTGGTCAACATTACACCTGTATTGCATACAATAAACTTAGCAGTGGGATAGGCAGCATTTGGTGCTGTTACTGGGTCTTTCTGTCATATGCATTTTTTCTTAATGGGTTCTGGTTGGTAATCTAAACATGTGGGGCCTTTTTGAATATGCAAGGTAAGAATTTAATGCTTATTATCAGACCCCCTCTCTCAAATTTATCACTGGGACAGGCGTGATACAGATGTAGTTGAAGCCTTGGGACCAGTTTCTACTTAGGAATAGGAATCAGCCATTCAACTCGTCGAATGTGTTACCATTCACTGAGACCATTATTGTTTTGTATTGGAACTCCATCCATCACCTTTTAGGGTTTTTGCCTCTAACAGGGTATCTTTACCTGAACTGGCAATGCTTATGTTGTTTCTCTTAAAATAAGAAACTAGGCACGAATGAATATGGTTTTGAAATATCCATATGTTCATTATAGCTTGCTATTATATACAACTACAGTATTACATGCACAGATACATCTGTGTGGGCTAGCATTGGATGATTTCGTTACAGCACAAGAACATGCTTTAAGTGGTCCCAAGTAAGATGGGCATCCAATCTTCATACCTTCAGGCTACATGCTGTGAAGTGGTGATGATATCACGAACATGTTTCTGAAAGGTTTCTGTTAGTGTGTCTCTTAAAGCTATACTGATACTGACCGTGAGACATGGCACAACATGCTTTCCAAAAATAACAACTTATCCCAAACGGTTATACCTGGTTGTATATAAACACGTATTGTTAATGCGATAATTACACAATCAGGCACAACAAAGTTTTCAAGATTAATATTTCAAGCTGCAGTGTAATGCTATGAAAGTTTGACAACCTGCTTTGATCTGGTGATTGTATACCTGTCTGGAGAGGTATGCATTGTTTCTTGTTTGACAGTTTGTTTCTTTGCTCTGATTTGTCTCATCATCACCATGCAATTAAC